AAGGTGAATGAGAGATTGAATGGAGAAACTTATGATTATGACTTCAATCTGTACCTGTAATTCGATCTCAAAAAGGATTTGCAATAGGAGTGGACAAACTTTGGGTTGCACAGCTTTCAACGCACGAGGGGAATTGGTTTTTAGTGGACATATTTTGATAAGAGACAACCAATTAAGATTATGATGGGATTTTTCCGTAGTTGTCACTTCTTTGAGGAATTGAGAAAATACCTTTCGTCTTGATTTTGTCCAAAGATGGTCGAGAGCACTGAGGAGAAGAAAGTATGAAGTTGGATCGTCATAGAATTCGTCCTCTTCATTTACAGTCATTGACACTATAAAAAATTGAAATTTTAAAACGGAAAACAACCAAAATTGAAATTAAAAATTCATAAAAGAAAGATCTTGCCTCTAAATCTTTGAATCTTTAAATTGATTACTTTGAGACATCTTCCCAATCTCAACATGATCTCACAATTTTTTTAGAAAAATGAATCAAATGATTAGAAACATAAAGTAATAAATTTAATAAAAAGAAAGAACAGAAATTTAGTGGATGAGATGGATCAGATCTATTAGTATTGATATTTTCTCAAAATTGTCTGATCCGCTAATGAGAAGTTGTCTGCTCATTGAGTGTAAACTCACCCCGCTCTTTTCAATCTTTTTCAGATGAGAATTAGACAACACTATTTATCGCTTGGAGTTATTTTGGGATATGAGAAGGATCCATTAGAGGACTCTGATGCTAAGAGTTCATAGTTATCTTAAAGATGTTCTATGTTTATGTAATAAGAGTCTTTTGACTCATTAGAGTGCTTTTGTTTTAATGTAGTTTTGCTATAAGACTTCTACACAATGAAGTTTCTTTTATGCAAAGATTTATTTGTAATATGGAGTCATAACTGGTTAGCATATGTCTTTACACCTGACATGATCTCAAGTTATGCTGTGCATATGGGAGCATGACACTCCACCATCCTTGACATTATTGTCACGTGCTCTGTCACTGTCATAGCTACAGAGTGAAATTGCTCTGATACCAAATGAAATTACCTTAGAGGAGGGGGGGGGGTGTGAATAGGGTATATGCTAATCTAATCCGATATTAATGCTAATTAAAAACTTATTAACAAATTATCCTAGCAAATATGATATTCAACAAGATATATGCAAGGATATGTAATAAAGGGCAAATAAACATGAAACGATATAAAGAAGATAGTGGACAAAAGAGCAATGCAAATACAAGAAAATGATTACGGAGTTCGGTTCTTCCGACCTACGTCTTCACTCCCTACTCCCGGGGAGAATTCACTATCACAATGGGTTTTCGACGTTCACCCAAAAACATTTACACTTCACAATTCGGTTTTCTACACTCACCGATAAACATTTACAACTCACACTTGTAACTACACAAATACCACCTCAAGTGTTGGCCGCTCACGTGTCACCTTCCTCAAGTATTCGGAATTACCACCTCTCTCTAGGTTTTACCACCGACCCCACTCCTTTTGGAACCGATCACGTCTCTCGCCACACACTCCTCTCGTGTACTAGTGTATTACAAAGTGATATCACAAATAATCACAAGAAAAAGATTTGTTCTCTATAATAAATGAGAACTCAATGTAGCTCACTCTCAATGATACACCTCACAACCGAAATATACTCAATGTGATAATACTAAAAGCTCAAGGGGTGTGTGTGTGAGCAATGAGTAATAACAAAATAACAAAACTTAAATCAATCTAGCACAAGTATATATGAATCAAAGTATAAATAAGCTAGAAGATAAGTTTAGAAAAATTTCTCTACGAATCAAGAGTGAGAGAGATAAAGATTAAAAGCCCAAACACCAAAGGAATGATTTCCTCCTATTGTGAAACTATCTTCACAAAAACTAAACTTGAAAACTCTTGAAAACTTTAAACAAACTTGCCCAAAAACTTAACTTTCGTTTTTCTTAGTTGACTCAAAAGTTATGAGGCATGTGGTATTTATAGGATCACAAGACAAACCCCAAAAACCAAGAAAACCAAGCAAAAAGATAAAAAACCCTAAAACTATGCATTCTGAAAAACTAGCTGTTACAATGTTATAAGTCAATTTGCTACTGTTTATAAGTCGACTTATAACTAGCTGTTACAGGCTGAAAAACACATATAAGTCGACTTGCAAAAATCATAAGTCGACTTATTATATATAAGTCGACTTACTTTGGTGATAAATCGACTCAGCAGATAAAAATGGTATCTTCCAAAACAGTTCATAAGTCGACTTGTCTTAATCATAAGTCGACTTATAAACATGCGCATACACTATTTATGTATGAAATTTGATTTTTAAAGTGTCTTAAAAAATAGCAAATAAATTCTAAAAATGTAAAACTTTGAAAAATGATTATAAATATGAAAATGAACATGTTATAAAAAGAATTTTTCAAATTGTATTTTTCAATTGTGGAAACTCTTCATTTTGTAAAATAGTTCAAAAACATGAAAATTTAACAACATATGTTTTTGACAAACAAACTTGCATATTCATTTTGAATGGATTAAAGGACATATATAATGATTATATTGTCCATAAACCAATAACAAAATATTTTCATAAAAACACCTATATTTTGATAAAATCAATAAATACGTGTGTGTATAATTGAGCTTGAAGTATTAACACACAAGTATAAACACCTAAACTAATATACCTAAGCTGAAAGATCTTCAATATGCTCGTCTTGGTTGCGGATGAAGCTTGATCTTGAATTTGGTTTTGAATTGTAAAGCTTCATTCCACTTTTCCGCCAACCTCATTTTGTTATCATCGTGAAGGCGCAATCCATCCAACCTCCAACAATGTTATCTAATAGGCAAATACAAACACTAAACAAACGATATTAGGGATTGTAAATCATCATCAAAACAAAGGTACTAACACAGAGGCCATCCCCGCACCTTTGAAAGTGCAATCTCCATGGACATTAATGTCTCTTACTCAGTCACCACCACAATCACAATTGCTATTCTATCAACAACATTATCTCCTATTCTATCACCATCACTATTTAAGACGCCATTGCCATCTACAACACCTACATCATCGCCTAGTCAATCTTCATAACAGGTGCCTACCCTATCACCCTCACCATCTAAGTAGTCACAATACTATACTCCGTCATCCACCCCATCCCAAATAATGGTAATAACCATTCACTGCTGTATGGAATATTTTCCCAACCCCCTCCATCTAGTGTTACATCGAGGCTCCAGCTCTTTCTCCAACACTTGGAAAATCTTTGGTTTCGCTTCAGTTTCTTCATTACTTATTCTAGTACTCAGCTATTGTCATCCATAGACTTACAATATGCAAGCCTCTGGCAGTTGTGAAAACACCAAAAAGGGAATTCTTGTGATCAGCATTGCTGCAAAAGTGGCAACATCCACGACCACCATCACCATCACCATCACCATCATAATGTTGAATAACACTTAAGCCCACCACCATCACTAGCTCAGTACTCTTGCGTTTAATTGTCACCATCATCAAGTAACCCATCCTCATCTGCAACGCCATCCCTGCAGCCAGCATCATTGAGTCCTTCACCATTGAAGGCGCCTTCACCATTGAGAGTACTGCCTACTACATCAATATTGGTGGTGCCATCCCTGTCAACGATACTGTGTCCTACATCTCTGTCGCCGTCTCGGGCATCATCCTCATTGCAATTACTAACTTCTTTGTCACCATCACTATTGAGGACATCATTCCGGTTGAAAGTACTACCTTCTACCCCAATGTTGAAATTGCTGTCCCCATCGATAATGTCTGTGTTTCCTTCTACTCCATTGTTGCATGCATTGCCCCTCTCGACAATTTCTATGATGATACTTTGCCACCAATCTCTACCTCCATAATGCAATCCTTCCCCTATGTTCATACTAACAAGATTTTTCTACCCTTTTATCTGCCTCCATAATGCAATCCTTCCCCTATGCTCATACTAACAAGATTTTTCTACCCTTTTATCTGCCGTATTGTCATTGCTCCCTAGTCACCATATTGTTCCATGAGTTTCTGTAGCAAATTAGGTTTTTTTTTGCACTGAAAACTAGTTTGGCCAGCTTGTAGTTTGATTTGACCAATTATTGCTGGAAAATCATTCTAACAGTATACAACTTTCAAGAGCTATAAATAGAATAAATTAAAAAATAAAAAATAAAAATAAATAAATAATACAAATCAAGGAGTAGGTAGCTTCAGCTTGTTCCTGATAGCAAAAATCAACAGAGTAAAGTGAAATAGTAAAATCCTAATAAATAATTGTAAACTAGTGACTGGTGAGTTTGATGAGTAAATTTAATTAACAGGAATAGGAGATGATTTAATCAGGGTGACAAGGAGTGAGTAATAGTAGTGATAAAAAGGGATCCGAATCCAAGTGAATTAATCACCCTTTCGCTCCAATAAAACTGTTATCAATTCCTTGTTAGGAAACTTACATACTCTTCTAATGGAATTAAGATATTTACATGTCTAGGCCAACAGCAAATGGACATAAGAATAACTTTATACATATTGGTTTTAGGCTGTGACTTCTTGGGTACCAGAGAGCTTGTGGGTAGAAGAGGAAAAAGTAGGTCATAAATAAATAACTCCAGGTTTCACAGTATATTTCTTATAACCAAGAATTTTAGTATTAAAGAGGTCTTGATGTAAGAGGAAAAACTTTTCGGTGCAAGAATTGAAGCAATGCTTCCACTTTCTAAAAGGCGAACACCTTGGTAGAGAATATTAGTGGTTCCAGTCCATTGCACTGATACTGCATCGAAGGGATGTTAACCATTGGATTAGCGGACTTAAAAATTTCAGCATACATTCAAAGGAAATCATTGCTCAAATGCACCATTAATACAATGGATTACAATGCACTTAGTTTCATGTCCTTTCCGTATATCAAAACCCCATGCAATTAATACTTAAGCGTGTGGTTACAGGGTGTCAAGCAAGTCCTAGTAAAATTGGGGGCAAAAGGATCGGCCTTCTTTGTTGAAGGAGAGGAACCAATTAGACAACCAATTATTCCTGCAGCATTGGTTGTTGATACCACCGGAGCTGGTGACACCTTCACTGCTGCATTTGCTGTGGCTCTTGTGGAGGGAAAGCCCAGAAGAGAATGCTTGAAGTTTGCTGGTATTATGAACATTTCGTCAGGAATCTAACCCCCAGTTTTTTTGTGGGAAAGAAAAATCCCATAGAGGGTGCTCAATGGATCATAGGGGGAGGAATTTAAGCAAGTTCTTGTTTCCTCTACCTCTCATATATGATTTTCTATAGAGGATCCTCTATTAGATTGTTGCCTGCTGATTTTCTTATAATAGCTAGTCCCTGACAAGTTCTTTGTTTGTTTTCTTTGATGCTGTACGTAGCTGCAGCAGCTTCTCTGTGTGTACAAGTGAAGGGGGCTATCCCCAGCATGCCTGAAAGAAAAGCAGTCGAGGAGCTTCTTGAATCTCTCTAATAGCCAGATATCATCATGCAGTTTTGTGGTTGATGTAAAGAAATAAACACTATTACTCTGGTGATAAGGTCATGATTTTGGCATTCATACTTTTTGTCTTTGGTGTGAACTTGAAGTCCAAAAGGCATTATATTGGAAGGGTAGGGAGGCTTGAAGTTGTTTAGAAAAGGCGAGATAATCGTTGGCCATATTAATAAAACAGAGAACATTTATTTTAGTTTTCTAAGGAGTTAGATAATGTTATGAGTCTTATTGTGACTTGATGCTCAATTTTCTAAGAGTTACAGAGAGATGACGTAATTAGTCTCATTGTGGCCTGATGCCAGGTTTTTCTAAGAGTTATAGAGAGGAAATGTAATTAGTCTCACTGTGACTTGATAAGGAGTACAAAATCTGATGATTGTATGGTAACATTTATTTTGAATGTTTGAGGAGCAGTATATGTGAAAAGTCCATTAAGTATTGATTAAGAGCACAAAATAGAGAGAGTTTTCCCCCGATACTTGAATTACATGGGATAAAAGAAATAGAAAGGAAAGCAAAGCTTTTGATTTTTTTTTTATGAGTTTTATTATGTATATCCTTTTTAATTGCCAGGGGCTCATTTCTCTCCTCTTACCGTGTTCTCAAATTAGCATGCATGCTTAGGTCTTCTCCAACACTTAAAAGGTCCGGATATCCGTTACAACTTTGAGATTGAACTTAGATGTAGCCCTCCTCTTACTGGACATCCAATCCTTTTTGCAGAACAACTTTGGGATTCTACTAGAGGTAGGCCTGGCCAATGGGCCGGATCCAGATGAATAGGTCACGGGCCGGCTGGTTTCGACACTTAGTCAGATCCCGGTCTGACCAGAGATAGATGTTACCTGCGCGGTTAGAGGACTGGCTTGGGTCCGGG